CTTTTAATATTATATTTTTATTTTCGGGCGGAATTTACATGTACCTTTTTTTACCTGAATTTTTTTTCGGGCGGAATTTACATGTACCTTATTTTACCTGTAATTCATTTTGGGCGGAATTTACATGCGCCCCCTAAAAATATGTAACTTTTAAATAATTAAATAATAAAATAATTATATGACATATTGACATGTGAGAAAACAATATTTTTTAGTTATAATATAATAAGGTATATCGTTTATGACAATTTTTTTTTTCTTTTAGCAGGTAAGGGCAAGGGCCACAGTCTGGTCATTTTCACATGAGCCCCTTATTATCAAGTTGGGCCACTGACAAGGTGTCATGTTTAAAACCCTTTCCGTCATATATTTATATATAAAGAAAGAACATTTTTTTCAACTAATTTGAATTAAGCTTAATTTTTAAAGTTTTTTAAAGTTGGTCCTAAATTGTTTGGACAGGCTGATCCTGAGATATAATGTGTCCTCTCAACAGGACAAGATGACGTAAAGGTATCTATGTTAAGTAATACAAAAAATACTACATCATTTGGATTCTTATGAATTTAGATATGCTTTATTAAGAAAAATTTATTAAATTATTAAATAATAACCTATGGAATTAAAATAAAAGTTTAAAATTAAAACATTACATGGTTTAAAGTCAAAATTATATTTAAAACTATTTTTTATTTAGAATGAAATGATTCAAAACAATTTTGCTTACGTGCTATACATAAGTTGACACTACATTTTTTACAGCTTACATACGTTTTAGATTTACAACCATAATTCTCACATCTTCCAGCCTCTTTCTTATCCAGGAATACTGGTGTATGTCCTATATCATCAAATCGCACATCATTAATTGGTCGTTGCTGTTTAGTTTTTGGTGTTGATGAAGGTGAAATAGATGTGGACGAACTATTACCAGGACGACCTCTTTTTTTTGTAACGGGTTTACCTGATAAAATTAACGCTTCAGCCAAGTACTGTCTAAAGTGTATAAGATCTAGGATTTTTTTTTCGTGAAGTCCTAAAGATTTTGCTTCTTTTTTATACTCAATCCATGAATTCACTGCAGCTATATCAATTCCATGAGTTATGAGGCGTAAAGTCCACTTTTTTTACCTTATAAAAATTTTATACAACGATATTAAGTGATCACATTTATCTACTCCACCCATTCCTTCATTATAACGGGCTACAACTTCCGGTCTTTAAACGTCTACGTATTTTTTATTTTTTTTGTCATAACGTCGACATTGGTCAACTTGTCCTATACCACAAAAATTTGAAGCCAGAACTACACTTGAATTATCATACCATTTTGTTAACACCACTCCAGACGTATTACAAATTAAATTTTCCATGTAGCCTCTACTGTGGTGTTTTTTAATTTCTTTATCGGTAGTAAATGGGGGTTTCATCAACTCTAATTGTACCGGCAGCATAAATATTTCGATTTTTCCACCATTCAAACAGCCAAAATAGTTATCAAAAAATAATGTACAGTTGGGCACATTAATTCTTTCGGATAACTGCATTACTAAAGATGCACTTTGTCTAAATTGAGAATATTCTGGCCTAATTTCCGTGGTAGATCCTTGATAAATTATAAAATCGTAAATCATTTCTGATATTCCACATAAACAAAATAATTTTACGCCCCATTTGGTTGGTTTGTTTTGAATATATTGTTTTACATTTAATTGTCCCTTAAAAGGGACCATTTGTTCATCAACACTGAATGTTGATTCTAGCTGTAAACTAGCACAATATTTTCGTATAGCTTCATATAAAGGCCTCACCTTCCAAAACCTATCATTAGTATTCGGGTCTATATCGATTATAAAATGTAAATTATTTCTCAATTTAAAAAATCTATTTGAAATCATATTTTCCGAAATTAATGGGATGGCGAATTTTGGCTCCCAGTACATACGCACTCGTGGTAAACCAAGATTTCCCATCAAAATATTTATGCCTATAAACGTTTTCAATTCCGCTACTGTAGTAGGAGGAAAGTTTGGTACATTATTACGAACAGCGTATAAATTTGTGTTAAAAACAGCGGTTTCTAATAATTCGTCTGAAAAATAATTACTGAACAATTGAAGTGGAGAAGACAAGTCGAAAGTTATATTTAGATGTGGTTCAAAAATATCAAAAGGTAGAGTTATGTATTAACATGAATCCAAGTAACATTTTTTTTGTCAGTCAAATCTTGTTGGGTGAAATAGTCGCTAGATGACACGGAGGAAGTAGGAACAACATTTTGAATATTATCTACTATATTTTCGTCAACTGCGTTTTCGTCGATTTCGACTTCAATATTTTCACMCATATCATCAAAATCTTCATTATTAGTTAAAAAGTCTGACAATAAAAAGAAACCATAAGTATTAAAATTGAAAATTGTATGAAATAAAATATTACAGAATGTAGTAAAAAGTAACATAATTTAGTATAAAACATAAATTACCTTTAAGTAATTTTAAATCCTCGTGACAATAATTATTTCCCAAATCATCGTCGTTAGAAAATTCCTCGATGTCGGAGTCATCTCCATTTTCAAGTAAATTTAAAATATCATCGTCTAATAATTTACGTCGATCTTGACGAATCATATTTATTATATTTATACAACTTAAAAAAAAAAGAAAACAGTTATAAAATAAAATAAAACAGTTATCACTATTCCGGAGCGTCGCAATGTCCTTTACAGAGTACACGTACATAACGCACGATAACGTTCGATCGAATAAAAATTTTTAATATCTAACCCATAGATTGAAAATTCAGAAATACATATATTATTTATAAAAATAATCAACAATACTAAGAAGCGATAAAGATTAGGATAAATGACAAAACAAAAATGTGTAATAATAGCATGTTTACTTGTCCGGGAATAACGCAGATTAATACTAAAAATTCAGCCAATGAACCAATAGGCGAAGAAACCGGGCAAATAAAAAATATATACTTGTCCTCTGGAGAGTACACTATGACTGAACACAGTTCCATATCATATTTGTCTATAAAGCTTATGGAAATCAAGTGTCCTCTATAGAGGACAGGGTGACGGAAAGGGTTAAAACGTTTAAAACACACGTTTAAAACCAATTGTTTTACAGGGTTCCATGTGATTTGGTCGCAGTAAGTTGGGCGCCATAAATTGGGCGCGGGAATTTAGGCGCAGTAAATTGGTCGCGGTGTAATATTATCGCGCGTCATATAGTCGTTTTGTATTAGATCGCGTCAATTTAATGATATCGTCGGATATCTAAATTATGATCGTTATATCTATATTGCAGTACCTATCTAAATTATAGGTAAAATGATAGGCTCGTGATTCGATGATTTGTGATTATAAATTCTATAATGTGTTATGTTTACTTTTGAACTTTGTATTTTACCGTCAGTCTACCGTCAACGCTTGTTACCGATTTGTTACGATTTATACAATTATACAGTGCCGTGTATTTTAATTATTTATATAATAACAATTTTTGAAACAAAATGCTTTTAAATTATATTTTGAGTCAACGAAATCAAAAGTTATTGATTCACAATAATTATGTGCATAAAAAAGAAAAAGACGGCGACGATAAAATCATTTGGAAATGTAATGATTATAAACAATTCAGCTGTCGTGGTCGTGTTCACACACGAGATGAAACTGTGATTAAATATATTGAACATACTAACCATGTACCTGACATAGGTAATATAAAACGAAGAAAATATATGAATGATTTGAAGAAAGTAGCGAAAACATCTCAACTGAGTACTCATGCTGTTATTGAATCAGTTGTATCAAAGGTAAAAACATTATAATTTAATTTACCTATTCTATTCTATTATTATTATTTGTTTAGGTTGATGATGCAATTGCAGGTACACTACCTCCCATAAATCAAATGAAAAGAACAGTACAACGAACAAGACAAATCGAAAGTTCTGCTCCTCCAAATCATGCAACATTAGAAGAGCTAAAAATTCCAGATGAGTACAAAACAACTACGAATGGTGAATCATTTTTATTATATGACAGTTTTTCTGAAAATATCAATGAAAAACGAATATTAATATTTTCAACAGAAAAAAATTTAAATTTATTATTAGAAAGTGAACACTGGTTTGTTGACGGCACATTTTCGTGTTGTCTTAGTATTTTCACCCAATTATATACAATCCACAGTTTAATATTATGTGATGTTGTTCCTTTAGTTTATGTTCTTTTACCAGATAAAAAGGAAGTAACTTATCGCCGTATGCTTTTAGCTTTAAATGTTTAAAAAAAAATTTAAATCCATTGATGATTATGGCTGATTTTGAAAAAGCTGCTATGAATGCAGCCCTATTTGTGTACCCAAATACTAAAATTCAAGGTTGTTTTTTTCATCTCGGACAGTAATTTTGGCGGCAAATTCAAAATATTGGGTTAAGTAATAAATATTCTACTGATCCAGAATTTTCCCTTAATATTCGAAAAATACTGGCATTAGCATATTTACCCGAAAATCTTGTTGAAGATAGTTTCGAAACCTTCTTCAAACAGAATTTTATAAAAACATTGAGGAACTTCTGTCAAATTTTATAAATTACTTTGAGGATACATATATTGGTCGCGTTAATAGAAGAGGACGAAAAACACCTCCACTATTTCCTATTTTTTCAATATGGAATTGTTATTTTTTAATTGAAAAAGATATTCCACGCACCAATAATGCAGTAGAAGGCTGGCACAATATTGTTTCAATTCGTTGTTAAATTCAGTTCATCCATCTATTTGGATTTTTATTAATGCGTTGAAAAAAGAAAATAATAT